GAATATGGCAGGGTTACTTTTTTTTTTGTAAGGTGAACTGGAATGTAAATAAATCATTGTGATACATGTAATAAATGCTCTAATTCAGGGAAGAGTGGCTTTGCAGACAAGGGTGTCAGGAGCCCTGCCTGTCAGTGATTGGAGAGGTAAAGAAAGAACTTGGCATGTGTCAAAATTCTCCCTTCCAGACCTATCACAATGAATGGATGCTTTAGCAGTTCCTAAAGTAGTTTCAGTAGATATCCATATTAATAGAATGAATGCATTTATTTGAAGGAATTGCTTGTTAAATTCATTTCCCCTTTTGTCCTCTAGGAAGAATTTGGATCCTGCTCAGGGAGCTGAGTAGCTCTGAGTGAACAATGACCACTGGGTTCTCCATCTGGTGGAGATCGGCACTTACAGGGGATCACGTGACTTTCAAAGAGGATGGCAACTGTCCAGGTAGGTTAGAGGATGCGACTGCAAACTTCACTTTGTTTGACGTTCTAAGTTTGTTTATATGAATTAGACAAAACAGCTATCTCTTTGAAAAAGTGGCCTTATGTTAGATGTGGACTTTGTGCAGCTGTGTGTGCCATGTGTGTTTGGCAGGCTGGCAGGAACCAAGTGGGTCCCCAAGGCACCTGGGACACTGACCTACCCAGCCTCATTGGTCCGAGGTGGGGAGACTAGGTGCATGTAGGAATTCCTTGTTGATCCTGCCTGCTTCTGTTGTTGGCCAAAATGGGCTCTGGTGATGTGTTTGGGAACACACTGGAGTGACTTTGGAGGTCGGCCAAAGCACCTGGATAGAGCCCCCCACGGAGATAGAGGGGGATGTAAACAATGGCTGATATAGGCCCCTCTGACCCTAGAGAATTCCCACAGTTGCCAGAGACCTCCCATGCACCCCCAGTTTTCTGTACACAGTCTCTCTCTTGTTTGTCATACCAGAAGCGGTCGCATGTACCATAGAAGAGGCCTCTGTGCAGGCTCCATGGGCCCAGTAGTTTTGGGAAGGCCTTGGAACGGAACAGGCACTTATAGAGCGTGCGGTACTGGCCTTGGTGGCGACACCCTCTTGCTCCTGTTTGCTCCCTTTGTTCAGAGGCCAAAGCTATAAGTAATGTAGCCAGGAAAGCACCACGAAGATCTTGCAGGCAGGCCTAAGCGCTGGCATAGCGCTCCTGCCCGCCCTGAAGACATGGAGGGCAATGGAAACAAAAGAACTCATGGGCTGCTCTGCTGCCTAGCGCTCTCACAAGTTGCCTCAGCTCCCAGGAGGCTCTCACAGCCACCGGCCTCCGTCCTTCTGTATTCAGCCTCTTTTCTTGTTTGTTGTTCAGAAACTTATTCACTCAGCCATTTGTTGTTTCGCAGGAGTAATTGCTCTCTATATATGTGTACATTTGAGTTTGCTCATGGGAGGGAGAGTGTTCAGTGTCCTGTTGCACCTCTGCCATCTTGGACCTCCCCAACTTCAGTCATTTAATAATTTTCCAAAGAGCAAATTAATCTGCCATGTAATGATTTTGGTTACTTAATCAGCATGTAAACACCTGAAAGATACCTTTCTCTCTCTCTCCCTCT